CTGCTACACTCTGTGGACACGCCATGATGAATAATAAATTTGTCACGTACCTCAAGACTTTATTTGAAACACCTTAAGAAGTTTAATAAATCCAATAAAACCCTATCACTTTCCTTGACTTATTCTATTTGAAGGACAGGCACGTCACAGACTCTCTAAACTCGTCTGAACACTCGCAGCAGTTTTCTTCTTTGCTTCAACATGTTTGTTTTTAAAAACACGACAAACTGTCCTCATTCCTGAACGGGTTTCTGGTCCGGATCAGTGAGTTCCAGGACCAACTTGGACCTCGTGGTCCTCTCTGATGAAGCCTCTGAGATAACTTGGTTCTGCTCTGACAGATTCTACAGAACTCAGTGAAGCACGGGGGTGGCAGTGTCATGATGTGGGGCTGCAGATAGAAGAACATTATCAAATATTTGAAAACTACAATAACAGTTTTAGGGTTTATTTTATTGCCATAAATCTACATTTTTGTTCTAAATATTTCTCAGTCTCATAATAATCATGAAAACAAATTATTGAAACATTAACAAGTAAAGAAATGTTGTTTATAAAAATGTTTTTTTCCCTCAGGGTCATAAATCTGGGGCAGTTTTATTGAAAGTGTGGAGCGGTCCTGTGTTGTTATTACTTGTTAATAACAGAAACGTCTGATAATTCAGATGTCCCAGCTTTTTACCGGACCTTAAACGCAGCAGGAGAAAGGGGCTACAGCGTGTGTGCACGCTGAGTCTTTGAGTCCCTGTGAGAGGCGGAGATGTGGACTCGTTCAGTCCGCTGGTTCGGACGGAGCCTGACCCACCTGCTGTCTCTGTCCTCCTGTCTCCAGCTGACTTGTTTGGGGATGTCGGGCAGTAAGGCGCTGGGCGGGGGCGCTGGCGGCGGGGCGAGGCGCAGGCGGACCCGGTGCCGGCGCTGCCAGGCCTGCATGAGGACGGAGTGTGGAGAGTGCCACTTCTGCAAGGACATGAAGAAGTTCGGAGGGCCCGGCCGGATGAAGCAGTCCTGCCTGCTGAGACAGTGCACGGCGGTGAGACACACACACACACACACACACACACACGTCTCGGTCCATCTGGGACATCTAAAGAACCTGGAGTCCAGACCGGGTCGGATCAGTACCAGCTAACCAGTTTAAAGTTTCTCAGATGTTTCTACAGACTCAGCTGTTTACCAGAAGGTTCTGAAGGGGGGGTTCAGKGTCCGGGTACAGGACCAGAGCCAGTTAACAGGTCCAGTAATTAAAACACAGAGCTCAGATCTCCAGGATGACATCATCCTCCTCCACCGGACCTGAACCCTGGTCCCGGGTCTTGGGTCCGTCCCTCTGTGAGGCCCAGAACCCAGAAGTCCTGACAGAGTCCCACTGGGTCTCTGGAGGTGTGATCAGTGAGTGTGGAGTCTTCAAATAGCATCAGTGTGAGCTGGAGCCCAGCAGGCTACGATGCTGCGTTTCCCTGGTAACCGGAGGTGGATCCTGGCTCTGAGAGGGAGCTGGACTTGGCTTTGATCCATCAGTGTGGGCTCACCCTCAGAGAGGAGCAGGAGGAGCTGCTGCTCCTGCTCTGGAGAGCTGCATTCATTTATGTGTGAGGAGGAGGAGGAGGAGGAGGAGGAGGAGGAGCCTCACTTGTTTCTTGTTTCACTTTAATTCTTAAAATTACCTGACAGACATCAGTTTACTTTGATTTATTCTCCAACAAGTTGTAAAAAGTATATACTTCATTCTTTAATTCTGTTTAAAGAGCCTGTGACATCCAGTTTTTGTAACACATATGAGTGCATTTTTAGGAAGAGGACATTGATAAAATATTGCAAAATAAATTCCATGTCGCTGAGATGAACAGTTGTTGAGATATTTGCATGTTTAGTAACAGGAAGTGATGTCACAGGTGAAKGTCTGCATGTAAAYAGAGCGTTGCTAACAGACTGTAGAGAAGAATTTGATGTTTCTTTAGATTATTTTGAGTCTCTATCTCTAGCTGTGTTTCCATTCACCATGAAAATGTGCAAATTAGAATTTTGAAAATAAATTTGCTCAATGGAAACACGTCAGTTTCGAAAAAAGTTACGTTCGATAAAATGTTTTTGCACTAGGATGAGGTGGTTTTTCAGTCGTATCGAAATTGGTGTTTTTCGCAAAAACTTCAATGAAACACTTTTTTCACATCACAGGAGTCAC